AATTAAATTAATAAATAATTGTAATTATTAATTATTAATTAACATAAAAATTAATATTTATTAATTAATAAATTAATATTTTAAACACTATTTATAAAAAATAAAAACTAATAACTTTAACACTTCTTATAATGATAATAATCACATCCATTTCCCCAATAACTTTGAGAAACAATTGTAATTTTTATTACTCTAGTTATTTAAAATAATAGATTATATTTTCTGAGTTTTTGACTTTTTGTAAAAGCAGAATAATGACCTAAAGAAAACAGTTAAAGCAGTGCACGGAAAGAGTCTATGGTACGCAGATATAGAGTGTGTCATCAGATATCCAAAAAAAAGGTTTTGATAGATCACAAAGATTTTTACAACTGCTTAACAAATATGCATACATAATCTCATTCTATGTATTGGGTAGTCCTGGTAAGAACCAATGAAAACACAATCAGCAAAATCTTTAGGGTCAAATCTCGATTTCCTATCAAGAGTTTTTTCCTTCTGTTCACCATAAATAGATATATGAACGTGTTTTTGATATTCTGACAATTGTGTATTTGTTCAAAATAGTAATGGTTGATCTTTAGTTCTTGTAAGATGTTGCAGACTGTCCCCATGATGGGAAGACGAGATCCAATTCCCCAGCATGATGCTTCTTGGATTGGATAGGTCTCGTTTTTAGCAGTTCTCATAACCGCATGGCTTCCATCCTTCCCCTTTGTTGCATGCTACGTTAGCAGTTATGTCATTCCAGAAAAAGCACAAAACCAATCCTGCATAAGGAAAAAAAAATACATTTACCATTCATAACATATATCAATAGAGACATTGATCGATAACTATAAATAACATCATGTATTCAATTGCATGTATTCAGTCAATAAATATAATCTACCAAAATGCAAGGCTAAAATAACCACAACGAAAAGTAAAAATGCAAAAAGCTTGCATACCTAAGAATGATGAAAGGGCAATAAACATCAACTTTTGTCCATAAATTGGCAAATCAATTGCAATATCATTATGAACAACTGGGGCAAATGGTGGCCAATCTGCAAAACAAAAAATCACAAGGCAAGTCCTAGATTGTCATGGCATGAATAAAAGGCTAATAGACCATAAAAGGAAATAGAAACCGACCACTAAGTGGAAACTTACATAACATAAAATGCAAGTTACATCTTGCTAAATCCTCTTTTCCTACTTCACTTTCTGTGCTGTATATCCCAAAAGAAACAGATAGTGAAGCTTGTAAAAGTCTTCATGTTTCACAAGTTCAATCTTCTTCATATACCTCCTATTGCTGGTTAAGTTCAACTGCCATGGCCAATCTCCTTTTCCCTCTACGATTCCTAAGATAATTTGAACAATGTAAATCAGAAAACCATAATCACTGCTAAATTTCATAAAACAAGTGGGAGGTGGTATGGATGGAGATGGACTTAAACAAAAACACTAACCTTAAAACTGATAGCTCCCTATATCAATGAAAAAAAAAAGCATATAAATTTGAAAGAAAAGAGGATTAACTCCTTCTACTTCATCAAGAGGATTTATAACAATTTGATAGCTCCCTATATTATCATAGTCTTTATAATTTGAGAATTTGGGATATTTCTTAGTAGAAAACAACAAGTGAAACACACCGCAGGTGTGTTGGGCACATAGAGGATTGATGTTGGATTCTAACCAATTTGCCAAGGTTTCTCAATTCACAAGTAGTTGTCACTTTAGATTCTTGAACAACCCCAGGAATTCCATAACTGATAGAAAAACACAAAACAAAAAAGAAAAAGAAACTTAGGAAGAAATTAGAACTTAGATTAACCTGTTGGATTCTAGAATGTTATCTTCAAATAGAAATTTTGCTCTAGGAGCACAAAAACCAGAAGAATTTGGATGGAATAGAAAGCCTTAGATCAAAAACCAGAAACTTACATAACATTGATCTGAAGTTTCTTACACTTGTACATCCACCAAACATAGCTTCACACACCAACACATCAAACTCCTTCCTTCCTCCTGCCATGTTTGGCTATGGCAGCAAGGTTTAGAAAATCTGGAAGAATTTGGATGGAATAGAAAGCATTAGATTGAAAATTGGAAACTAACATAGCATTGATTAAGGCTTGTTACACTTGTGCATCCATCAGAGATAGCTCTCAAACACCAACACATCAACTCCTTCCTAGCTCTTGCCATGTTTGGCAATGGCAGCAAGGTTCACCAGTCATCTCAAGACAGTATGGTATGTTGAATGGTATGCATCAAACTCATGAAGGGAGCCCAGTACCACTCAATTAATGCATTGTACCCCTGAAACACATTTGGATTTGGATTTAGGGAGGGGGTTTAGAAGTTTAGATTGGGGCTAATCCACCATACAAAGTAAAAGTAATAAATAAACAGAAGAAAATTTTTCATAATGAGATGCCATTTTTAAGGAAAATCTAACCTGTGAGTTTAAGTCTCCTCTAAGAAGCTTTATATGGTAACTTGTAGGACTGCTAATCAACCAGCAAGACCATATTTTTCAAACAAACTCTTCAAGTAGCCTAAATAGATAACAATCATGAGTATGTGTCTCCATGTTGCATATGTGAACTTTAACTGCACCCTCGGAAAGGAAAAATTCACCCCTTTGCACAATTCATGATCATGACACCAAAAAGTTTTGTAGGAAACCTGAAAATGGTACCAATTTTTATTAGAAACTTTCTCTCGTACAAAGCTTTTAGATTAACAACCCAAAAAGCACACCCAGAAACCTAAAAACCTCCTCTCCTTGAGGTCTTACTGGAGCTAATTTACCCGACAATTAAAGGGGGCTCATTTTCAGCCAACTTTACCCCATAACCAAATTATAAAAAGAACAAAGTATAAAACAAAAAAAAAAATTCAATAAAACCCTCATGAATACATAGAAATTAAGAAGCAAAAGAAAATGAAGCCAGTGAAATGGAATAGTCAAGTCAAAATACCTATTGTTTGGATGTCTGACACTTTCTTTGAGGTCTGATTCTTCAGCTCAGCACATAATTTTCCAGCCAATCTTTCTGTCATTGAATAAGGGTGGCTTGTGATTTATTCGGAAAGTCGATGATTTCTCT